GAATCACAAGCCGAGACAAGTACTTAATATAAAATACCTCTAAGCAAAACATGCTAACCGATAAAGTATCCAATAAAAACATGTTCCTATAAATACCCTTTTTAATATCAAAAAAGTAAAAATAGGCGAAGACCCAAGCAGAGCATCTTTCCCTCATAATTACGACAGAAAAATTAATTTACCCCGAATGAAAAATTATTTGCTGTTATGAATTCCTCTTTAGCATCCTTTAGAAACCAATTAGAATAAAATTAAAAATAACAAGCAGCTGGCCATTGCGTTTAACAGTTCCCTCATAAAAATACTCTCTTCAGAAACCGGCCTTTATAAAATATTTTTAATAACGCCTTTATTGAGATCATATTCTACAAAATCGAAGCATGGGCTACCAGTGGGTAATATGGTTAAAAATAAAAATGGCTCGTCTATTCTTGTGACACAATTGAGAGTAAAAAATGTCCATTATTGCAAGAAAAGAGAAAACCCTTTGTTGAATAGATTAATCAAAGCATTTTAAGTGCACCTTATAATAGAGATGAAGATGGACGAAATTAACTATGTGTCCATAAGTGAATATTAAAAAAAAACGTTGCCCCACACATCGTTTTTTTCCTATGTCGTACCTAAGTTCACATACACATCGCACCCAGACCCGGAACAACAATCTGTAAATCACACAAAGATTTGTTCTGTGCGGGAATCGAACTCGCAACACGTTCCAGTTGCCCAGCCACCGCACCAACCGTGCAGTTCATATTAAATAAAGATAAAAAGGCATCCTTTTTAAAGCCGAAGAAGATACGCATAAAAATGTACACTTTGCATCACATTTCAATACCTAATCTCAAACAAAACAATCTACTGACACACACACACCTTTAATACTAACTACAAACGCTTCAACCCTGTATCTAAACCCTTTCTCACCTCAAACAAACAAATACACAAAAATGTAATCAGACCCAGTGCTCCAATCAGCAACACGAGAGTACTTCATCCACAATCATAGAGCCGACCGAACCAACGTTCTACGTAAACCGTGGGGAGTTAAGTGCAAAATCTGTTGTGCAGTAGGTCAAGTCGTCACCGACGTATCGCTGGATACTCGAGCGATGTGCGGAGGCAGTGTCAGCGGATTTGAGTAATTGGTTAGCTGTTTGTTATTCATTGAGTTTGCAAAAGTAATGCATAGTTGAGGGTTCTTCAGAACGACAGCAAGGTACAATTTACCTGTGACTTTTAAAGTCCTGATGAGAACATTACCATTGTTTTGTAGATACGACTACAATGTGCAGTATATACACTGTACAGTAGTGTACAGTCCTGATTTTACATTAAAACATATAATAAGCTAAGCGATAGCTTATGACAAATAATATTAACTGAACCAACTTAGCGTTAGCGAAGGATTTGCCTCGAACAGTGTTGTGTCAACAGTCAAATGCTTAAACATTAGCACTATATTATTATATATTTATGTAAAAGGTACAACGTACACCTTAAAATTTAACGTCATGTCCAACAAAACTATACATTAATAGTTTGCTTGTTGGATCTTACATTAACATAACGTATTATTCAAGGATATATATATAAAACATATATTTATAGAATATAATATAGAAGAATGTTGAGTACATTCCACGGACACCATTAAACCAACATACCATACACGTGAAACACTCCTTTCTAGTTAGCTCTTTCCTAACAGCTATCTTCCCCTCAAAAATCCACGTGGATATTTAACCTTACCTTAATAATCCAATAGCACTCAGTTGGATGAGGTTGCAGGAATAAATATTAACGACCAATAATGTTTATACCTGAGCAAAATATTAATGCGCCCCGTAAGACCACTGCGGACCAGGTTGAATCTGACCACGATCCATTTGCAAATCGATTACCCCATAACGCGAGTTAAATACCCCGTGAATAATAGATGGGGCAATTAATTCATTACATTATTGTTTGCGAGGCAATGGATTTTACAACCTTAAATTATTAGGTTTTAAGTTGAATTTAATTTTACGTCACGAAAGGATTCCAAGGCTGTATTTTATTATCTACGTGTTTTATAAGTTGTTTATTGAGAAAATTAAAGGGATTTTTTAAAAAAGAAACATAATGTCATTTCGTTTGTAAAATGATTTAAAAGTGTGCACAGTTACATTCATTAACTCTTCAAATTTGATTTGAATCTGTATTATTACTTTCGTGAGACATCTATCTATATATATAAAAATGAGGGCAGATTTTTGTTTGTTGTGTTTTTTATTGTCAGGAAAAGGTTCTTATGACAGAAGAAAGTCCTGAAAATTCTACGGGAATGGGAGAAAACGAGATTGCGCGTACGAAGTCGCGGGCAGAAGCTAGTACTAAATAAATTATTATGTTTTCGGCTTAGTTACTCACGAAATTATTTGACGGGAAACTCGACGGGTCGCAAAATGATGCTCAGGAATATGAGCCTCTAACATGGCTTGAAACTAGTCGAGTTTCACGTCAAATAATTACGTGAGTAAGCAGAAAACATAATCATTTATTGATTTTAACCATAAAAATAATAACGAATTTCGTACCAAAAGACCGTAAAACAAATACTCTTTGATCTATTACGCTTGTTGATATTCTCACTTGCTACAGATAACACCGAATCAATCATACCAATAACAGCCTAAGCTTACCCGCTATCAAAGGAGCCCCACTCTTAGCATCTAGTTCGAGAAATGTCTAGTAGTGGAGGGCCTGAAGCCACGCTGGGGAACTGTTGCGTGACTTCGACTTCACAACCCACTAAATCCACCTTTGAATATATCTATGTCATGTCCTATGTACATCTGTGTATGTAGATAGCCAAGAGTCCTTTTGTAAGCACGTTGCATTCGCTTTATACGGAGTTTCGAATTGTTGTATCTTTGTATGATGCAATCTTTATGTGCTTTTGAAGATTTATTTTTGTTTGAAATACTTTTACAGTGTTATTCTAAAAGGTGGTTTTTAATCTCCTGTATAATGTTTAAATACGTACTACCTACTTATTAATTTTAGCTTTGTCTTATGTAATTCAAAAAATTGCGTATAATAAAAATAGTCTCAAACAATTTCTAGTGTTTCCTAAATTAATCTAACTACTGATTTAACACATTTGGCGCCGCCGTACCCGATTGAGTACATCAACAGCTATAATGCCCACTGCTAAGGAAAACCTCTTCTCTAACGGAGAAGGTTTTGTGTAGTAATAACCACGCTTGCTCAATGCGGGTTGGCGATTTCAAACTTATTATTAGAAATTATAAGCTCAGGTTTCGTCACGATGTTTTCCTTCACCGTTTTGTCCGTGGTGTCTGAATAATCTTAGTGCATATAACTCGGAAAAATTCTTGGTACCATGCATGTGAAGCGGGCATCTTAAACATCCCTAAAAACCCTTAATCGAGTTCAAAACCAAATAAAGACGACATGGATTACATCTGAAAATATTTGTCCAGATTATTTTTTAATTAATTCATTTAAATATTTGTAATTTGCTGCTGTCAAAAACGTCAACTCAAAAACTCCCCCGACTCGGCAAGTACTCGCGGACCTTGATTAAAACTTCGTGACGGATACGAAAGAATAGATTTTTTATTAAAATAAAACTTTTAGCAAACTTCGTCTAAACTGTGCCAGAGGCCATTGTCGCGAGTGATTTATTACTTTTAGGAAAATTTGAATTATTCAGACCTCTGTTTGATATTTTACTAGACCCAAATAAGTTTTCGGATACAACAAACTTTAAATATATTTCATAGAAAGTTTGGACACACCGTCGTCTACTAACCGATCCTGTGTTGGAGGTTAAAGAAATGACCAGGCCAATGACTCATAAATACTCTAGTACTTTTGCAACTGCCTCGTTGGCCGAGTGGTCGTAAGTGTGACTGCCGGGCAAGGGGTCTCGGGTTCGATTAGTCGGGCAAAGTATTACTGGGTTTTTAAATATTCTCAGTAGTAGCAAGGAGTCTGGAATTGTGCCCGGTATATGGCAATAGGCTCAACCCCTATTACATGGAACTCATAACATATATAGTGAAAAGTGGGTGTTACATTGTACAGTGGTATAATGTGCACCTCTGCCTACCCCTTCGGGGATAAAAGGAGTGATGTTATGTTATATGTTATGTTACTTTTGCTAATAACTTAGTGTTTTTAGACGTATTGAAATAAACTTTTAACAATAGAATAAACCGCAGATACTTACTTTGAAGTAAATTATTAAGCGAATTTACTAAGTAAACTGACTTTGGAACCTAAAATAATTATGAGAAAACCAAAATTGTTTTGCAAACGCACATTTCGTAAACTTACTTACGTAAACATATTTTATAAGTCGTCTATAACCGGCGCTGATTGCTTACCATCAGGTGGCATGCCTGCTTAATTACCCCTATTCCAAAAAAAACTATTGTAAGTATCTACTATAAAAAAATTGCATTTTTTTATATTTGATGGGCCCACGCTTGACCACTATCTCGCCTGGTAGTAAGCGATGATGCGATCTACAATGGAGCACGTCGTCTGTCTTGAAGATACCCAGGTTTTACCCATCAGGAAATACAGACTCTGGCAAAGAATTCCACTCCTTAGCAGTACGCAAAAGGAAGCTTGATGCAAAGCGCGTCGTGCGTGTGGGTGGGACATCTACAATGAATCAGTGATGCTTCGCCGATTGTCTTATGGTACGATGATGGAAATGGATGGAAAGGTGCACATTATGTCACTGTACAATGTAACACCCACTTTTCACTATTTATGTTATGAGTCCCATGTAATAGGGGGTGAGCCTATTGCCATATACCGGGCACAATTCCAAACTGCGTGCTACTACTGTGATTTTTTTTAAAACCCAGTAATACTTTGCAGCAGGAGGGGGAACTAAGTTGGGCAATGCCCTCGCACGTTCACCGAAATGAAATAAATGAATGAATGAATTCATTTTTAAACGAATTATTTGTTCGCAGGTAATGTGTTCGTGATAGCAGCTATAATAATCGAGAGGAATCTGCAAAACGTAGCCAACTATCTGGTCGCGTCGCTTGCGGTCGCAGATTTGATGGTTGCGTGTCTTGTTATGCCGCTAGGAGCGGTTTATGAGGTAAGACTAAATACAACTACCACTAAATTTGGTTTCTATTGTCTCGAAACTTGATTTTATATCAAGATTTTAGGAAATGACGAACTTAAAATAACCGATATAAGACAATGGTTGGAAACATTTCACGACTATTAAATATACATGGTGTAGTTTTGAAACCGTGGCATTTCTCGAGGGCATGTCACAGAAGTCATAAAGGTTCAATGTAAAAGAAAGTTTCGGGCCAATAGTTAAAATTACGGCTATAATAAATAGTTTAAGATAGACAGTATTTCAGAATACGTAACAGCAATGTTTCTTATTGGAGTTTTATGGAATTAGGAATAATATCAATTACGTGTTTGAGTTTGTGTGTGTTGAGAATGCTAGTTACAAGATGGCGGCGTTTAGTTCGCACCTTGTATAGAAGTATTACAATCTATGCAAGATCCTGAGTTTACTAGTCGACAGTGCCCAATCAAATAACCAGAAAACCAAAATGTTCAACGTCATCACCCGGATAATAAAACAATGTTAATTCTGAAGTCAAAGTCAAAGCATTTATTTCAATTAAAACATAGTTCGGTACTTTTAAAACGTAAACAGACTATTATTTATTTTGTATTTGTTGACAAATACTGTCTCTGTTGACAAATAATACAAAACAAATAATAGTCTGTCAGTCAGTCCGTCAGTAAAGCTAGGTGAAGCTAGGTGCTCATTCCAAAATGTAGATTCGAATAGAGAAGAATGAGCAAGAAACTCCATAAGCACCTAGCCCAATTAAGCAAAACCAATAGCTACCGCCTTAGGTCCGCATCCCATTAGAAAGTAAAAAAATATCAGCAAGTGATTATCATAACAGAGCCATAAACGACAAAGGCGCCCTCTAGGAAGTGCAAATACAACAACCTCAAACGTGACTAATTGTATACTTTCTTGACTTTTTACACAAAGAATAATAATTAAAAATATTTAAATTCATTTAATTAATTAAAATATTCTAATAAATATAATAATAATCAAAAAGAACCTAAAAATTAAGGGATACACAGCAAACTATATAAATGCATACAAAGCTATTAATTATTAGTGTTCTAGTATAAATACATCAAACTATTTATAACTGTCTATGTTAATTAGTACTTTCAACCTTCTTGCTTTGTGATAAAATAGAAATTCTATTAAAAGAAATTTCCATTTTGCCTTTCATTACCTTGATGTCTGTTCATAAATTGGTTGCTATAAAAATTACTTCTAAAGTTATAATGCAGTAGAAAAATGAGTAAGAAAATCGTAATTACTGAACCACCTTTTCGACCTCAACTCTACAAAAGAAAATGAATCTAAGTAATTTATGTTTCAACTTTATTATAAAGAAATTAATATTTAGCACTTTTTTTAAACTTAAATGAATTTTGAGACTCACATAGTTACTTTGTGAAGTTATAATCTTAGTAAGGTCATTTTATTATAACAAAGAAATAACTGTATCACGGTTCGAAGATCGACTTATTGTTATTTAGTATAATTAGGAATCCAGCTTAGAGTTTTCAAAATTGAAATCATTAAGACAAAAATAAATGCAACGGTCACTTTTTGAGGTAAGTAAACCATTCGCCTAACTTCACTGACATACGGACGGACGGACAAATCAATTTTTGACGTTTAAAAAGTACCAAATTAAGGATTTATTCAAATCAATACTTTGGCTCATCTTTGACTTCTCCCACCTTGGTAAGGCGAGAGAGTGTTAGACTCTTACTGACTAAAAACCACCCCGATCCTACTCGCTCTTCAAGCTGTTAAGTCTTGCTCCATATCGGGCATCAGCCCTACTGGGCCCCCTCTGTAATCCAAGATACCTAAATGTGAAATAATAATACCTAAACACGATAATTTTCAAAAAACAACCTTAAAAAGTACATTCACTATTATTTACACCATTTTGCAATCTCCGTTCTCATTACAAAAAAAACAAAATCTAAGATTCTGAATTCAAAATAAAAACGAAACAAAACTACCTTTACATAAACAATAAAAATAAAAAAGAAACTTAATACAAAAAGTTTTAATGCCAGCAGCAAACAAACATTTGGCCAAATGTTTCGCCAACTAGTTGGTGTGTAATTTGCCAAGTTGGAGTACACGTGTTAGTCGCATGCATGAGAGGGTTTGCCCCCAGCTATGGTAGTTACCAACCCTTACAGCGTTTGATTAAAGCGGTCGAGTAGTTAAATAAAGTTGTTACATTTGTCGGGAAATTGTGATCTGCATTATGTTATTAGATTTTGTTTCGCTAAGGTGTGACAGCTGTTTATATCGCTGAAATACTTTCAAATACATAAAAGGGAAGGTAGATTCTTCTCAAAGTCAAAATGAAAGTCAAAGCTTTATTTCAATTAAACCATAATTTGTTAATCTGCCATCACCACCCGACAATAGCAGTATAGTCGACAACATCGTATTGGAGACTCGGTTGCCAAAGAAGAAAAAAAAAACCATAATTTGGTACTTTTGAAACGTCAACAAATACAAAATAATTAATAGTCGGTCAGTCAGTCCGTCAGTGAAGCTAGGTGAAGCTAGATGCTCATTCCAAAATGTAGAATCGAATGGAGAATAACGAACAAAAAAACCATTCGTTACTCTTTTTAAAAAAAGTATGTTCTACAATGTCTTTGATCCCTACATATTCCAATATTGTAATATTGTATGCATATGCCAAAACAATGCATTCTCTACTTTAGAAGGACATGTCATCATCTCCACGTTCTGTAAATGAGGACAGATATATAGCAACTTAAAAGATGCAAATTTATCATAAAGCACTGCTGTTTAGACAGCAGTGCTTTATGATAAATTCCGATTTCCTGAGCGATCGTCCTGAGATTAGTCTCAGGACGATCGGTATACTATTATAATCAAAAAATACTACAACCTAGTCCAAAACAATATTAAAGGACACGATCCGAAAATTCATTTCGGATATGGATAACAAATAACATACATAACATCACGCCTTTTATCCCCGAAGGGGTAGGCAGAGGTGCACATTATGCCACTGTACAATGTAACACCCACTTTTCACTATTTATGTTATGAGTCCCATGTAATAGGGGGTGATCCTATTGCCATATACCGGGCACAATTCCAAACTCCGTGCTACTACTGAGAATTTTTAAAAACCCAGTAATACTTTGCCCGACCCGGGAATCAAACCCGAGACCCCTTGCCCGGCAGTCGCACTTGCGACTACTCGACCAATGAGGCAGTCAACAAATAATTGTCAATAAACCTTTCTATTTAAACTAAGACACCGAAAGGCTTTTTAAATATTAAAATAGTAATTCAGCGGTGTGGTAGAAAATTTCGAAACTAATCAGTCTGTTTGAATATTTGAACGAGGCGTTGGTTTCGGGGTAACTTGTTGAGACCAGACAACATATGGCGGTGGAGTTGGTTAAATAAATCAGCGATTAATCTTGTGGGCTAGTCGGTTTGGAGGTAGTCTGATTTAAACCGAAAAAGGGGAAAATAAATCTGTTTACAATTTACATTTTAAATTTTAAGTGTGGGAGAGCCATGGTTCGGCACGAATGGACCGGCTCGACCGGAGTGAAGCAGAAAACCGACAGACAGAGACCACAGAAAACCGACGTGAAGCAACGCTTGCGTTGTGTACGAAACACAATGCAAGCGTTGTGAGTGTGAGTGAGGTTACCGGAGGCCCATTTACCCTCCCTTTCCAATCTCCCCAATCTCAAGGATTGAATCTCCAACGATCCTCAAACTCCTAATCCCCAAAAGGCCGGTAACACACTTGTAACGCCTCTGTTGTTTCAGGTGTCCATGGGCGACGCCGATTGCTCACCATTAGACCAGACTTATGCCATAAAAAAACATAAACTTGCAATTTGTAGTAATGCATACAACAACAAACAACTGTTTTTATTTATCAACACTATCATAATGTCAGACAGAAAACACGTACTGCTGAACATACATCCCTAAATTACTTCCACATAGACCGGTTGGACTTACATGAATTTTAACAATACCCTTCTTGCAATCGGGTATTTGTCCTGGCTGCCAAGTCAAGCCTGGGTATTATGGCAAACCCTCGCTTAAGAAGGACGCTTTTATAAGCAGAGAACCTGCTAGACTACTCTGTATGGTTAGGTCGATCACATTCTCGCCCGTCATTGGTCGAGATTATTGTGACAACCAATGACGTAGCAGACCGCGATCCAGCTCACTTCAAGAGTTCCAATTAGCATAGCCTTTGAATTGTGTCACACCTTAGATTCATACATAAGTCATTGAGTAATAATACCAAACATTTCTCCTTCAGGTTAGTCAAGGCTGGATCCTGGGTCCGGAGCTGTGTGACATGTGGACCTCCAGCGACGTGCTATGCAGTTCCGCATCTATTCTTCATCTTGTTGCTATAGCTACTGACAGGTAACTATTAAATTGATACTATGTACCCCACCGTAATACGTAAAATATAAGGTCCAAAGAATGAACCAAGTAGATATACTTCACCCACAGCAAGTCACTATTCAACTGTTTTTGATAAGTCCCAGTAATACAGAGTCCGTGCTATAAATGAAAAATTATTGAATATTGCCTTAATTTTAAATTCAGAGTTGCTCTAAAATCACACTGTCCAAAAAACATGTGGTTTTAAACATGTTTTCTAAAATGAACATGAATTTTCAAATATCTACACCAAGTTTCAATCCAACTACCTATTTCTAAACTTCTCAGATATTTTCGATTGTGAAACTCGATCGCGTCAAATACTTAAATTACTTTTTCTCAAACAATATCGGAGACAAGCGTCACAGCAGTATGGATAAAACTGATTCACTGCTCAATAAATTCAAAAAGTTTCGACGTCTCATAATAACATAAAATACTGACGCAGCTTCTGTTATTGTTATGTTTACGTAAAGAAAGCGATTAACATTCTAATAAATATTGACGTAATAATCAATATTAAGACCTTATTTTAGTACACGTTATTAATTCAAGTAAATATAACTGAGAATTTTGATATTGAAATATTTCATCCTACTGAAGTATTCAACTGGAAACTATGTGAAGGTGCTTTATAACGTCACTCTACCAATTTCAAAGATGAATCCAATATTGACTTGTGACTAAAACGTTTACTTATGCGTATCAATTATTCCAGGTATTGGGCTGTGACAGACGTAGACTACATACACATACGCAATGAAAAGCGTATATTCACGATGATCGTGCTGGTCTGGGGGGCGGCACTAGTCGTGTCACTAGCTCCCCAGCTCGGCTGGAAAGATCCAGACTACCTCGCCAGAATTACACAACAACAGAAGTGCCTCGTCAGCCAAGACCTGGCGTATCAAATATTTGCGACAATGTCGACGTTTTATGTCCCTCTTGCTGTTATCCTCATCTTGTACTGGAAGATCTTCCAAACTGCCAGGAGACGTATCAGGAGGAGACGTGAACCTCCTCCTCCTAGACCTACATCAGCGGACGGCGCCCCGCCTTCTGGACGACCAGTCCAATCAGCAAGGGACCGAAGGTTTGTTAAGAAACGGTTCCTCAACTTAAAGAAGTGCAATCAACGGACTCGTGCGGAGACGTTGGCTGCTGCCCTGTTGTTAACTGAAGGTCAGAGCACCTCAACTGTGGACACATTGGACGAAGAGCCAAGGACCACTGCGTTCACAATCAACGAGAAGGCGCCTGCTTCAGTCTCCCCAGAAAAGTCTTCCTCGACTGTTACTAATGGCTCGAAGCCTGAACGAGCAATCGTCCCCGCTCCTACGCACAGAGAGAAGAAAGAATCTCTAGAGGCGAAACGAGAGCGAAAGGCAGCGAAGACGCTCGCTATCATAACAGGAGCATTCGTGTTCTGCTGGCTTCCATTCTTCATAATGGCATTGGTGATGCCAATCTGTCAAACGTGTGTTATCAGTGATTACCTAGCTAGTTTCTTTTTATGGCTAGGCTACTTTAATTCGACCCTAAACCCTGTAATATATACAATCTTCAGCCCCGACTTCCGCCAGGCGTTCGCGCGTATTCTTTTCGGCACTCATAGACGGGGCCGTATGGACTATGGACTATGTTACTCAACCTATATGTATGATATTTCGCTTTCTGTATGTTATACATACTAAGTAGATAGTGTAAATACGTTTATTCGGTGATAATATTGTAAATAATATAAAGGTATATGATAGATGATGTTGACAATTGTTTTTTTTACGCGTTATAGTGTATGCAGCCGCGACGGGGTCGCTCGTGAGTCCTGGGCGGCCCCTCCGCTCGCTCTTATGTTGTTTCAAGTGACATTACGAAATAAATATTTAAATTATATCAGATTCAAAGACTTTTATTGTCTCCCTTTTTTAATAAAACCCTCCGTTTATTTGAGAAAGCTGGCAAGATATCGGCCGCAATTAGAAAATCTTTTAAATCTATTTTTTCGTTGGCTTTGTACTTGATCCCTTTGTGGCAATATTATGGGAGATTTTTATCTTCTGTATATTTAAGGTAATCCTAAACTACTTAGGCGTATTCGGAAACTCATTTTTCTTCGTTGAGGATTTATTTTATTGCTCTTCTTATTTTTGTTTTATTTGAATAGATAGTTGGGGTATTACCGTTGATATGAAAATAGGTTTATGGAGTTTTAATGTTAATTTTATTTGGCACATTCCTTCCATGGTAGAAGGGATAGAGAGATGAGGGTACAATCACCACAGAAGGTATAGGATTAGTGATGCGGTGAGATGGGATTGATTAACGTGTGACCTTTAATGACCCCTGGGGAAATCTGTGTCCCCTAGCTGCGGTTTCCTCGTTTCTCCTAAAAATATATCATTGCTATTTGTAATCCAATTTCCTATTTTAAGAATTAAGGTAAAAATAAAAATATCTCTTCGTTGGTTTAGTTGGTTGCAGTAGCGTCTAATTGTGTGGTTTTGTCTGTGATTGAGATCTGATTTACTATTGGATTGGATTCTACTTAAGCGTGTGAATCACCCTAATGTTATGGAACCACCCTAATGTTTGTCCATCAACCACAATGAAACCAATGAACAGGTTTTTACGAAATTTGGTATACAGACAGGGTATGGGCTTAGACATAGGTGATAGGGTACTTTTTATCCTGATTAAATGTAAGGGAGCACCGTTGAGATAAAATTGAAATCATATTCTACGCGACTGAAGTCGCGGGCTACAGCTACAGATGATGATACAGAGTATGATTTCCACGGATGTCCAACATACATTAGCAAACTGCTGAAAATCCAATAAAGGTAAGTAAGTTATTGTCTCATTCTCAAAATAAAGCATATTTAAGAAATAGCAGTAGCAATAAAACAACTGATCTATACACCACTTTCTTCCTGAGTGCCGGTTGGTTAGTTCACTGAAGCCGGCCAATCAGAGCGCTGAACGCGCTCAATACTCTCACGTTACGAATGCGATAGTTATTTGTGTTTGGCACTCTGACTTTACCGAAAACTACTCTGAAATAGTAAAAGTTTCTATACCGATCAGTTAACACCTCAACATGATTATCACACATATATCCTTCTCTGTCACCATACACACACACACACACATTCAAAATTCTCTCCAAAACCCCTTAACATTCAAAACACTACCACTATATTCAAAATTGCATTGTAATCTAAACCCGAACACATTAATTAAAACTTAACCCTTCACTAATCAAATAAACTGAAACCCGTCCATGTTGCTAGCTATTGATCAACCGTCTCAATAGACAGTTTGTTTTACGTCAACTCCATCGACACGTTTATGACGTTCGGTGCTCTGATTGGCCTGCTACAATGAATCGACCAATCACAGAGCTCAACGCGGTAACGTTTACGTAAGAACAAACTCACCCCAGGACCAAGTTCATGTTTCCCTCTTCAATCAATCAATCAGTTCGCTTGCAATATGTTAATGCATTCAAATCAGTCGAAATGTTTCCAACTTTATGTAAAACCACTCCGAGTTTTGTTAATTTTGTTCGGTAACGTTATAAATCGCGTGTGTTTCGCCTTCGCTAATGGAGTTTTAATAACGTAAACTTGTTTATTTTAACGCGTTTTAAGTTGTATTCGCTGTGTTATGTGATTAATTATTTTGTTACTCTAAGTTATTCTTGTGAAGTTTCCAAGACTTGACTTGTTATAAAGTAGGTAGATAATTAATGATTAAGTTACCTTGACGATATTTTTTTGCGTCAAGGACTATTAAATTGTTGCGGTTGGGGCAGTGGTTGGGCAACCGGCTACCAAGCGTACTGCGGATTCGATTCCCGCACGAAACAACACTTTGTGTGATCCACAAATTATTGTTCCGAGTCTGGGTGTCATGTGTGTGTGAATTTCTATGTTTGTAAACGCACCCACGACACAAGAGAAAACCCTAGCGTAGAGCAACGTTTATGAAAAATATATGCATAAGCTGTTTTACAATAATAATATGTAATACGATATTTGTCATTGTCGATATTGTATATCAGCAAACGTCTAAAAGACAGTAGCTAACCCCTTATTCACACAACATTAGGTACTTAAGAACCTGTGCAGAATGACCTAGAACCACAAGAGAATAAAGTGGATACTTTTACATCAAAAACTAACATTAAAGTAACAAGTTCAGTGTACCACAAATGCGAAAAAAGCACAAGTGTTAACCTTTCTCTTTTGCCAATAGATAATCGCTTTTGAAGTTTACCAAGCACTTGAGCCTACGCACACATCTATGCTGAAGTGTGAAAGAAAAACAAAAACTATCTACCATCAGGGCACATACGTCCTATGCCCACATATTTTTCTCTTCAAAGCGTGACAGCCTTAAAAAATGGTTGGTGAGTGGACGATGCTCTTGTTAGTAGCGGTAGCGATTTTGAATTGTAAGTGGGATTGTGAAATGGTAGGTTTAAATTGGAAATGGGTTGTCAGTGTAGTATTAACATGGTAATCCTTTTTTCTCTGGTTATTTTAGGTATGAGTCTATTGTAAGTAGTATGTTACGACTGCACGGTTGGTGCGGTGGCTGGCAACCGGCTGCGGTGCAACGTGTCGCGGGTTCGATTCCCGCACGGAACAACAATTTGTGGATCACACAAAGTGGGTGTCATGTCACCCACGACACAGGAGAAAATCCTAGTGTGGGGCAACCGTTTAAAAAAAATGTTAAGGACAAATTATTCTTCAGTACCTAACGATTAAACATAAACTACCAAATTTACTTAACCAACTTTTATGCTGCCCGTTATTTTTACTTCACATCAAAATTAAGTCCCGCTACCAAATAAATAACATCCCGCCTGTCACCACTACAATAAAAAATTCAACTCTGTTCGAGATCAATTTAAAGAAAAATATGTCACGACACCAATTTTTTCCCAAACAACAACATCAAACCCGCTTCCGCTCGTCAATGTTATCACACCCTTCGACCCCATATGTTGTCACTTGAGGAGGGGACGAAATAAATTGTGAAAAGGAACTTGGCCAGTTCCAACTGATTTCCCCACTACTTGATAAGAAATAGCCTTTTAACCTAAAAGGTAAACGATAGAGGGAGCCACTATCGCTACTTTTGTCATATTTATTTCTATAGTGAAGAAACGAGTAAAATATGGGGCTATAGATTGTGTAAAATAAGTGTTATCTAAGTTTTTCGTGTAGGGCGCGGAGATTGATGGGGAAATATGATGGTAGTTTGGTTTGAGTATATATTTACTTGGTAGCATAATATTGTGTTGTTTGGCCAGATTTTAGTGTAATTTTGAATTTTTGTGAGGGGAAATTAATTTCTTCTATGTTAAATGGTAGTGTCGTGGTGGCCCGGAGGTTTAAGACGCCCACTTCTCATGCATGAGGGTGCGGGTTCGAAACCTACCAACGGCAAGTACCAATGTGACTTTTTCCGAGTTATATGTACTTTCTAAGATTATTTAGACACCACTGACAAACGGTGAAGGAAAAACATCGTGAGGAAACCTGGACTTATAATTTCTAATTATAAGTTTGAAATCGCCAACCCGCATTGAGCAAGCGTGGTGATTAATGCTCTAACCTTCTCCGTGTGAGAAGAGGCTTTGCTCAGCAGTGGGCATTTATAGGCTGTTGATGATGATGATGAAATGGTAATGGAGTAGGTATGTATTGGTTGAGGTGTAAAATTTAATAAAACTAAAAATCTGCTTGGTACTCAGCAAGACTCCTTGTATTATTGAGGAAACCTGTTCTGAAATGTGGGTGTTACATTGTACAGTGGCATAATGTGCACCTCTGCCTTTGTCATGTATGTATGTTATAAAAAAACAACAAAAAACAACTCTAAAAAACAATACACGTGTTTCATCTAGAATCTAGACAAAGCACGTGTAACACCCACTATATATCTACATCCAGACTAGTTACTCAATCCCTTTTATTTAACACTGAATCTAAATCGAAACATCTGAAATCTTGTAGAGCAAGCAATCGGACTACTACCTGTCTTACCCAACTCAATGGAAAGTTCAAGGCAACTCCGCTAATAACGTAAAGAAAAGACAGAATAAACCAGTCCGAAACGACGTGTTTGGATTCCACAAATCGACACCTAAATTGTACGAGGAATGTTAAGGAGACTAAACTTGTTGTTTTATGTGGAAGTAAGTGTGTATCGTTGTGTTGCGGTGATGGGAGATCATCAATGGTAGGTGGGGTAATGATATTGTTTGTATTAATGTATTTAGTACTGAATGTCACTTGTGGCTTCCTCTGCGTGATCATAGGACGAAATATTAACATGTACCTAACACTCTCCAGTTTCCCAAATTATGTTTAATATAAATAAATAATAATAATAGGTACTGAGAACTAGTGAGTACTGTACAATAAAATTATGAGTCAAAATTATTTCTAACTTGCTGACTCGGCAAACTTCATACCGCCTATTCATGTTTTCACCTTTTAAACCTTCCCTGTACTTTTTTTATGATTACGGGGGGAATCCTTCAAAAGGCGCCTAGCCTTTTTGGGGATAAAAGACTAGCGAGTGTGGGATTTTTACCTCACTAAAACCACCCCGGTGGCCACCCTCAACACATGAATAAAGGCAACGGGTCCTCTAAAAGAGACCTGGTCCGGAGCCT